AAAGAAAGAAAGAAAGAAAGAAAGAAAGAAAGAAAGAAAGAAAGAAAAGAAAAAGTATCTTTCATCTGCATTCAGGCTCTACCAGTTCTTTCTCTGGAGGTGGACAAGCACCTTTCATCATAAGTCTGGAAGGAACTTTAAAGATTTTCTAATCCCTTCTCCTCATTTTATAGACAATCACTTCCCCAGAGAAGGGGGATCACACTGAGAGTGGACATCAGAGCCAGAATCCAAACCCCGGATATTTGATTCCCAACATGGCATAGATTATGAAGATGTTAAGGATCTGTGATTTGTCTGCATAGGAACTTCCTTCACCAACACCACCTGGTGACCCATCTATGACTTAGTAACTAAGGTAGTTATAGGAGGATCAGAGATTAAGGAATTTGCTCAATGTCACATTAGTAGCAAGTAAGAGACCCAGGATTTGAACCTGTCCTCTGATTCCAAATCTTTCCTCCGTGTCAAGTCAACGAGCATTTATTAAATGCCTATTTTGTGTCAGTTATTATCATTCAGTTGTTTTCAGGTGTATCTGACTCTTTGTGACTCCATTTGGGGTTTTCTTGGCAGAGATACTGGAGTGGTCTTGCCATTTCCTTCTCCAGCTCATTTGACAGATCAGGAAACTGAGGCAAATAGAGTGAAGTGACTTTTCCAGGGTCACAAAGCTAGTGAGTATCTGAGTCCACATTGGAACTCATGAAAATGAGTCTTTCTGACTCCAAGCCCAGATCTCTACCCCCTGTACCACCTACTACATGCCAGGCATTGTTCTAATGATGTTACACCATTTAACCTCTCCCTCTCCCTCACAAACACTTCAATTTAGACTTTAGATTAAATTTATAAACCTATAGACAAAAATTACATGTCAACCACCACTCGTCATCTGCTTTAGCTACCAACCACTTACCAAATTATCTGTATTTCACTTCATTTTCTTCCCCATCTAATCCCTCTCCCCTTTTCCTCCTCATCCACATGCACTCTGTTGAGAGATGCAAATGGGTAATAGTCAAGTCAGGTTGACAAGCATTTATTAAGCACTTACTATGTGCCAAGCACAGTGCTAAATGCTGGGGATACAAAGAAAGGCAAAATATAGTCTCTGCTCTCAGAGAGCTCTCAGGTTAATGGGGGCAACAACATGCAAGATATAGTCAGGATAAACTGGAGATAATCCCAGAGGGAAGGCATTAGCATTAAGGGGGGTAGGGAAAGGCTCCCTGTAGCAGGGATGATATTAGTTAAGACTTGAAGGAAATCAGAGTAACCAAGGCGGGGAGGGGAGGAGGAGAATTCCAGGTATGGAGGACAGCCAATGAAAGTGCATAGACGCAGAGATAGAGAGTCTTGTTTAAGGAACAGCAAATAAATAACAGGGGACGATTCAGAAAGAAGCCAGTGCAATGAAAGCTAGTGCAGCTAGGTGGCGCCATAGTGGATAGATCGCCAAACCTGGAGTCAGAAGACCTGAGTTCAAATTCGGCCTCAGACACTAACTGTTTGACCCCGGGCAGGTCACCTAACCCAGTTTCCTTATCTGTAAAATGAGTTGGAGAAGGAAATGGCAAACTACTCCAGTATCTTTGCCAAGAAAACCCCAAATGGGGTCATGAAGAGTAGGACATCATTGAAACCATTGAACAACAACCTCTTGGCTGCCAGTTCTACTCTCTAGGGACCAGAATAATAAGGTTAATCCCTCTTAGGTATTCATTCCACGATGAAGGAATTTGGAGGGTGGAGAGGCTGGAAAAAAGGTCTTTGAATCCAGAAGGGTGTTTCCCCCATTGTTCTGTAATTCCAGGTTCAGAATACAAACAGAATCAACTTCTAGAACAAATTCACTTGTCAGAGAATTGGAGGAAACACCCCATGAGGGAAAAACAGAGATTTGAGTAAACGGAGCTTCACCAGAAGGGAGCTCACCTGGAGTACTAAGTTCAGTTGCTTCTGTTTGCTGAAGAAGGGCAAGTACTCAGGGACACCTAGGTGGTGCAGTGGATAGAGCACTGGCCCTGAAGTTAGGAGGACCTCAGTTCAAATCCGATCCCAGACACCTAACATTTACTAGCTGTGTGACCCTGGGCAAGTCACTTAATCCCAATTGCCTTACTAAAAAAAAAAAAAAAGTGCAAGTACTGGCCATACTCCCTTCAGTTTGCTGCCCTGAGACCAAGACCCAGCGACCAAGACCCAGCTGCCTTACTCTAACTCCAGCTCTGGCTATCATTCTCTTCTCCAGACTCAACATTCCCGATTCCCTCAAGGATCTTCCTAGGTCATGCTTTTCAGGCCACGCCCACGCCCCCGTTGGTCCCTGTTGGCCCCAAAATCCCAGACAAACTCACTACTGGCTCTGAATCTGCCGCTGAGATTTGAAATTAAAAGACTTGCGTTGCTCTACCATCTTCCGAAACTGCTGTCGGAGTTGCCGCAACTCCGATTCCGCTGTCTGTTGCTTTTCTTTCTCTGAAAGTTCTAGTTCATGGCAGTGCTTTCTCCTGCGTTGTTTTGACTTGGGAGAAGCAAAAGAAAGCAATGAATGACCCTTCCCCAATGACCAGAATGAGAAAAAATAGTGCCCACCAGAATTTCTGCTTTTAATGGGGCTCAAGGTAGGGGATCGAGGTGAGAAAGTAATTTCCTTTTATCTTACACCCTTTTATCTTTTCTCCCTCCCCCTTATTGTCTTCAATAAAAGAGAAGAATGGGGGAAAGGGGAAAGGGGTCGAAGGGTGAGGAAAAGGAGAATAGGCGAAGCTAGGAAGAGAATCCAGCAAAGGAGCCGAGTTGGTATTTGGTAGAAGTAAATCAATCAATCAACAAGCATTTGTTAAGAGCCTGCTATGTGCCAGGCATTGTGCTAAGGACTGGGGATCAAAAGACAAAAATGCAACCATCCCTGGCCTCAAGGAACCCATGTTGTAGGAGGGAAGAAACCATGTACCTATTTGAGCAGATAAACAAAATAACCCAGTAATATTGACTCTATCCATAGAAAGTCTAGAGAAGATTCTCGCTCATCCTGTGCCATCTCCAGCCAGAGCTGAGGGCCTCAAAGGCTGTCCTAAGGTTTCAGCTGAGCCACCTTTTACCCATGGCTACCAGGCAGGGTTTGCACTTAAAACAAGGATTTGTTCTTAACCTTTTCAGTGTTGTGGACCATTTGGCTGTCTGGTGAAACCTGTGGGCCTCTTTTCAGAATCATGTTTGCAAAAAAAAAAAAAAAAGGAAGGAAAGGGGCTGCACCAGTGTTGGAGCCAGGAGGACCTGAGTTCAAACCTGGCCTCAGACACTTGACACTTACTAGCTGTATGATCCTGGGCAAGTCACTTAACCCCATTGCCTAGACTAAAAAAAAAATTTTTTTTAACTTTAAAAAAGGAAGGCAATGCTCAATTTCAGTTAGAGGTTTAGGAAAATAAAGATGTCATTTTCTTCCCATCTAAGTTGACAACCCTCCCTAAAATCTATCCACAGATGGCTAGGTTAAGAACCCATAACTTAGAGACTGGACTTTCGATTTCGGAAATAGAAAGGGGTGGCTAGGGTAAAAACCATAGTTATTTACTTACTCAATTATGTCTTTGTTCATGAGTTGAAATCCAAACCCTCCTTAATTCCCAAATAGCACCCCCACCTTAATGGTTCTAGAAACAAAGATGGCACCAACTATATTTTCCTATATAATTGTCTTCATTACTGTGGCTCCCCCCCCACTTACCTGTGGCATTGTGAAGATATCTCACTTTCCTTCTGCACAGAGAATGTGTCCAGACAAAGTCTAGCAAATTCCTCTCAGTAATGTGCTGTCCAGAATGAAAGAGAAGTCAACAGTTAGAAGCCTGCTGAGGTGCAGGCCTAGGGTTTAGTTCTTGGTCACTCTTTCTCCTGATCCTGATTGGCTCATGAAAACAGCATTCTTCGTGACTCCCTGGGCATATAGAAGAGGCATATTTTTTTTAATCAATATTAGGGTGAAATCTGTTCATCTTACTGAGTTTATTATTAGGGGGAAAGCAGGGATCCCATAAAGAAGGAATGTTCATGTGTCACTTGGCCAGGACCAATGCAACCCATCCCAGGCATGCCAAACACCGAAGGGGTTAATGTGAAACTCCTCTCTGCTGCCAGTCTAATTTTCTTCTGTGGGTGTTAATTTTTCCTTTATTTAAATCTGCTGCTGACAAACCCAGATCATCATTGTTACAAAAATCCGCATTTGGATCACATTTTGCCCTTATATAATCTGGAGAACTCAAAGCAGTATTAATGCATTCATTTCTCACTGCTTCTGTGAGACTTTGACCTTCAAATTCTGACTTTCACAGAATAGCAGAAATCTCTCAGAATCTCAGAATTGAAAGGCACATCAGAGGCCCTGGGACCCAACTTGTACCTGGCCAAGGATCCCTTCAGGCTATAGCATTTATAATAAGAGGTAATTCCACTTTTGGAGTTTACCATCTCCAAGAAAACTCATTCTTCTACACCATATTGAAAAGGCAACAAGAAGTAATGCATAGAGTGCATAGACCTTGGTCCAAATCCAGTTTCAGATACTTGCTAACTGTGTGACCCTGGGCAAGTCACTTAACCTGTTTGCCTCAGTTTCCTCATCTGTAAAATGGGGGTGATAATAACATTTTACCTTCCAGGGTTGTTGTTGAGGGTCAAATGAGAAAATTATAGAGTACTTAGCACAATGCCTGACATATATAACTGTTTGTTATATAACTATAGCTATATAACTATTATTATTGCTACTATTATTACTGTATATTAGTATATATTATATATAATTATATATAATTGTATATTAGCTATATAACTGTTAGTCAATGTAATTATTATTAGTGGAGCATTTGGTGCCCAACATGGTATCAAACAGGTTCCCTAGTGTCTTCCATGTGGATGGCACCATCAGAGATGGTCTGGACATAAACCAAACCCCCATTATTTATGACAAGTTCCCTCCACATAAAGGTTCCCAGTAGCCTCTAGATTCAAACTCCATCTTGTGGAAACACCGAGTCTAGTGAAAAGAGAGCTGAGTATCACTCTTCCACCTATGGCTTCTTCCTGACAACCAGTTTAAAATTGTTCTTTTTGCATCTTTCACCTGCTGCTGCCGCTGCCCCTGCTGCCTTTATCAGCAGCCAAGCTGAACAAATACATTCTTCCCTCCTCCACGTCAAAACTCTTGAGATGTTGGACAGAAAGCTATGACCCCCTTCCCCACTGAGTCTTTTCTTCAGGGTAAACAAGGATTTCTAAAGCAAGGTTACCAAACTGAGCTTTGCAGCAGCCCCCAAAGCATCTCCAGTTGTCCAAAGGGGTGTTGAGAAATGGTCAAAGAAGTCTCAAGAAAAAAAAGTAATTTCAACTCATTTTAATTGAAAAATTAATCTTCTTGAACAAGGGAGAGACAGCATAGTTCTATGGAAAGAACTCTGGATTGGGATCCAAATGACCTGGTTCCAAATCCTGACTCAGCCACTTATGCTCTGTGTGACCTTGGGCAAGTCACTTACTGCCCTAGAGTCTCAATTTCCTCATCTGTAAAATGAGGGAATTGGACTAGATGACTTCTGAAGTCCTTTCCCATTTTAAATCGATGATCCTGTGGGTCTTGAAATCAAACCACAGTTACTGAGCATCTGGAAATCAGAAGGGTTCCAGAGGCTCTCTTCATTTCATTCAACCAATCAATCAACAAACATTTACTAAGTACCCACTATGTGCCAGGAACTGTGTTAGGTACTGGGCATAGATACAAAGACATAATATGTACAATAGTCTCTGTCCTCAAGGAGTTCACATTCTAGATTTAGAAGTATATTGTATAGAAAATAGTTGCAAATAACAACATGGTAATTTGAGAAGAGAGAGGCTAGCAGCTAGAGAGAATCAGGAAAGGCTCCATGGAGGAGGTTGAGCTTTAGAGAAAGATCAGGATTCTAAGGCGGGGGAGGAGAGAGAAGGGACGGCATTCTGAGCAAAGATGACAACCTGTCCAGAACCAGATAGAATGTTCTGTGTGAAGACCAGGGAAACCTACATGTCTGGATCATATGTGAAGGAAACTAATGTGTAATGAGACTGAAAAGGTTGGACCCGGGTCATGAAGGGCATTGAATGCCAAATGAAGGGGTTTACATTTGAACTATTTAGTAAGAACTCTGAAAGTCAGCATAATATAATGATTAGAAAAGGAGGGAAAGCAGAAAAATTTAGTAAGCACCTACTATGTGCCAGGCACCATGCTAAGCTCTTTACAAATATTATTTCATTTGGTCCTCACCACAACCTTGGCTGTTATGATCTTTATTTTATAGTTGAGGAAACTGAGGCAGACAGAGGTGAAGTGAGTGACTCACCGGGGTCATTCAGCTAGTAAGAGCCTGAGGCAGATTTGAATTCAGGTCTCCCTAATTCTAGACCCAGCACTTTATCCACTAAATCACTGAGAGAGAGCCAGCCTTGGAGCCAAGAAGATCATTTCAAGTCCTGTCTGTGACACATACTAGCTGTATGACCCTGGGTAGGTCACCTATCCTCTAAGTCCTCCAAGATTATAAATATATATATAATTTATATATATAAATATATAAGATTATAAGTACATATTTATATATATATATGTATATATAAATATATAAAATTATAAAGATTGCAGAGAAGGTGATGACTTATATTGGTAGATAGGAGTTTTCTCATCCAGGAGTTCCCCATCCCAATCTCAGGTCCAGTCTCCTCACCCTATGCTATTGGACACCTCCCTTGTGCCTAGGCTTATGGTAGGATCTGTGAGGGAAGAGAAGTGGAGATCTGGTCTTTGACCTAGAGATGCTTGTCACCCAGTCATCAGGAGATCAGAAGATTGCAGTGGGGGTGGGGGGCTGGAAGAGACCTTTGAGACAACCTGGTCTAACCTTTCCATTTTACAGAGGAGAAGACTGAGGTTGACTCTGAGCTCATGAGGCAAGCTGGAAATCAAACCTAGGTGATCATTCTTTCCACTAAACTTCAAACTGCCCCCTTTTCTGGTTCCTTCCAATGTGACATCCTGCAATTCTACTCCAAGGCAGGACAATGGACAGTCAAGAACAGATGCTGTGCTTGCCTTTAAAGTCAGAAAGACCAGGATTCAAATCCTGTCTCAAATGCTTCCTAGCTGTGTGACACCAAGCAAGTTGCTTCAATTCTCTGGGGCCTTGGTTTCCTCATCTGTAAAATGAGGGGGTTGAACTCAATGACTCTTACAGAGACATGATCAAAAGAGGGCTTGGAACTTGGAATTTCTGGGTTCAAATCCCCCTTCTGATCCTTTCTATATCCCAATGAACAAGTCATGAAACTTTTCTCAGCCTCTATTTCCTCATTTGTAAAATGAAGATAACATCTTCAGTGGTTATTATGCAGCTTGGATGAGGTGATGGATGCAAAGTGTCTCAAAAACTTTAAAATGCTGTAGAAATGTCAGGAATGAATATTCTCTGAAAGGCACGTCTA